ACTCCGCTACAGGCTTTACCTTGAGCTTCAAATTCAAGATAATAGAGGAGTTTTCCTGTCCGTACTGCTTTTTTAACCTGTTAGCTAACCTGAGTTAAGAACTAACCCTTTATTGTATTTACAGTGTAGATGTACCCTAAGTAATTTTAGGTGTCTAAATCCATTGAAAGTCAATGAGAATCAGTCACCTAAGTCATCAATGCACTTTTGAACATTTTATCCATGGTTCCTGCCTCGAAGAGCTTACAACTTAGTTGAAAACGAGATGTCCCAAATGAATGTAATCAACAGCAGGAAAGGAAGGGGAAGGAAGAATGAGGGTAAGAGTTATAAGGTAACTGACTAACAAAGTATATGGGCTTACATCAACCAAACACTGTTACCTTCATTTTGCTTTTCAAGTTATTTCCACTAGTTTAAGTCACTAACTTTCTAAAAATCAGTTTGGACTATAACAAACATAGCAGTAAATGAAAATGATCAGTTATGAATTTAATAAATATGGCACAAAGAGATGAGCTGTCATGGAAACTTACGCCCACGCAGAGTCCATCAGAGGCATAAGGGCCCAAACCAGTGCACCAATTTCTGGATACAGGCCTTGAACGCTAGCAGCCTGATACAGAGCCTACTGAAGTTAATGAAAAGATTCCTATTTACTTTTATGAGTTTTGAATCAGACCGTAAATGTAAAATTCAAAGAAACTCAGCTAAGTATAATAACCTAATATCCGATAATAACCCTCTGTCTGCACATACAGCTCCATTTGATATCAGTGTAGCAGCATACATCCTTAAATGTGTGCTCTGACAGATCATTCTAATTTTTATTTATAAAATGATGGAAGAAATTATTCCAACAGACAGTTATCAAATGAACATGATCTTTACAAAGTAGCAGGCAAAAAATGATTTCCTCATTCTGTAAAGCCAAAATCTTCTCTTTTTAATACCTTCATGCTGAAGTTGAGCAGATCTTTTCACAAAACAAGGGAAGCAGAATTTATAGTCTCCTGCTCTTTAATCCTCACATATTGGACTATGAGGAGCTGACTTTGGGTGCCCTTTCAGATTCACAGTTCTGAAAAACATGGTCAGCTCTGGAACCCAAATATAGTAAGGCTTTATTTAAGCATTTTTGTGCTTGTTGCATGCCCCCCATTTAATTTTTTTTCTCTAACAACTCTTTATTACATGTCCAGAACATTTCTAGTCTCTTTTAAAAATAAACAAACTGTTTCTTTCTGGTTTATCCAATGACAGACAAAATAAATGTAATTATTTCCATTTTAGGAATTATTTTTCATCCAGGATAGCTATCTAGACTAATCATGTTCATTAGAAGTGTAGTGCAGTGTGTACATTTTATTAGGGGTCTATGGTAATACTGGGAATTTTTGGTATTCTCTTAAAATCTATATTCTTTTTAACTATGAAATTCCTGAAACTAGTAAATTTTTATTTATTTATAGGTACTTCTACAGCACTCCTCATTGTAGTATCTGAGCCCAGCCAAGTTAAGTTTATTTGTTCAGAAATGAAATATACACTTGCTAATATAGTAATGATAACTCACAACAAGGACCACTTCTTCAATGCAAATCTTCACAAGAAAAGCTTCTACACATAAAGTAAAATGAATCAGTTACTGCATTGTTTATTAAATTTCACTTGATTCCTCCTGACAACCATTTAAAACAATGAATTTTGGGAAATGTCCCTCAAATAATCAACAACAATAGTAGGGATCAGAGCTTTTATACTTCGCTAATACTGTTCTTAAAAAGAAGAAAATATTTCTTCCTGAAGGGATTATAGAAAGTCTTATAAAAGACACCTGCAAACAAAATAAGTGACAAAAGATCTTTATCATAATTGATAACAGTTATCCTCTCTAGAAATCTATGCTTCCTTAGAGATAATGTAATATAACTTTGCTGTTAAATTCAAGATGTATTAACTAATATGCATCACCGACGTTCAGCAGTGGTACATTTTAACAAAGAGAGGGAATGTTTTTCCTCTCATGCTCAGAAGTTTAATAGCTAAGTGCAACAAACCTACAATAGGATTTAACTAACTAAGGCTTCTTTTCTTATGCCCAACAGAACAGGGAAGCACTGAAATTTATGTACAACGAAAATCATTTAAATAATTTCTGTAAAGATTCTGGACGTATACAACTGTGTATTTAAAAAAAATCCTTTTACCCCCACTTAACTATACCATACATCTGTTCCCAAAGCTTGTGTGTTTTCACTTACAGTGCAAACTTTAGAACACCTGAATTTCAAATATTTAAATGCCCTATTTACAAGAGATGAACTAAGTAGCTAAGCACATGAGATTTTGGATGGGAAACTTTTGCAAATTGCAGTTTTCACAATATGGATAAGAGGCTTGATAACAGTCAAAAGAACAAGAAATTCACATTTACAATGAAATGCTTTATTCTTTCATCCCAGATCAGTTTTGTTTGGGTAAACATACAATACACTGACTTTACCCCCATTTGCCTGTAATATCTGAGCACTTACTAACTACAGTGGCAGGCATTTGAAAGATGCATGTAATAATATAAATTATCTGCACTAGTTGGAAAGACATATTTGTACGTCTCTACCTCCAGACACTCCACAATAGGAGACAGACCCCAGAGAGATCCCAATTCTCAAATGAGTGACAACATGGGACATGTTAACCCTAAATTGAGGAATACAATGCGGATCATCATTTCCCCTGCAATTGTCTGTTTACCTCTGTTCCCTTTCCCTGCCTCAGTTTCTCAACACCTCCCCTTTCCTTTTGTCCCCTAAATTCTTTCCAACTCTCTCCAGCTTTGGCAGCAGCCACCAGGCTTTGTGGAGGAGAGGAGTTTCATGCTGATTACAGGGGCAGACAATCAAGTACCAGAAGCAGCAGCAAAGCCATGTCATTTCACTGTCCGCAGCCTGGACTTACCCAGTCCTGTACACAGTGGAGAGAGCAGAAGCATACTATACGCAGGAGAGGAAGCTAGCAAAAGGGCAGTATGCAGAGTAGTCTGGGCACGCAGCAGGATAGCAGGACAAAAATACATTGCCTAAACCAATTGAAACAAAGCAAGATGTCCTAATAAAAGATAGTTGAAAAGTCTAAAGAAAAACAAAGTTTTGATTCCATATAACTGATAGAAATAAATGGCCAATACACATACACTCTAGCACAGAGATGGGCAAACTACGGCCTGCAGGCCACATCCAGCCCGCAGGACCATCATGCCCAGCCCCTGAGCTCCTGGCAGGGGAGGCTAGCCCCTGGCCCCTCCCCTGCTGTCCCTCCTCCGCTGCAGCCTCAGCTCGCTGTGCCACCGGTGCTTTGGCCTGCTGGCTCCAGCCAGGCGGCAAGCTCCTGCTGCTCTAAGCAGCATGGTAAGAGAGTGGGGGGGGGGGGGGATAAGGGGCAGGGGGTCCCGGGGGACAGTCAGGGGATAGGGGTGTGGGTAGGCGTCAGGGCAGTCAGAGGACAGGGAATGGGGGGGTTGGATAGTGGCTAGGGTCCTGGGAGGGGGCGTTCAAGGGACAAGGAGCGGGGGAGGGTTGGATGGGTTGGGAGTTCTGAGGGGGGCTGTCAGGGGCGGGAAGTGGGATGGGGCAGATGGGGGCAGGGGCCAGGCTGTTTGGGAAGGCACAGCCTTCCCTACCAGGACCTCCATACAGTTTCGCAACCGTGACGTGGCCCTCGGGCCAAAAAGTTTGCCCACCCCTGCTCTAGCAGATTGTTTACCTTCTGCCCATAGGACAGATCTCTAGTATACTTTGGAAACTAGGCAAATTCAAAAACTTAACATTAAGAGTTAGAAAAACAGCAGATAATGGTAAAAAGTGTTTACAATTTCTAAGGGAGGTCCTGCAAGCAGATTAAAAAAAAAAAAGCCATCCCATCTCCCTCTCAAAGGGGTCTACTGCACTGAACAGCTTTGAAAAGCAGGACAAAAAGCTCTTCAACCTTAAGGCCTTGCTTAGGCAAGAAAAGAGGTCTTTTCTAAAAAATGTGTTTTAACTAAAAATGTCTTAAATTAATTTTTCAGCACACTTCAAGAGTTAAGTATTATCAATGTGATAAAAGTAACTTTTACAAACCCAAAGTACATTTAATTTCAATATGAAAAAAACAGGTTAAATCTCCATGGAGTCATCCGTAAGACTGGATAAAGCACTAAGTAATATTACTGTAGGAAACATTTCTGAATAGGTAGAATGATGAATCTACAGACGGTCTAATCAGTCTTTTCCATCTCTAATTTCTGCAATTCTGAATTTTAAGTCTACAGGCATTAAGAATATTTTAGCATACAGCGGTTGTTTTTGTAAACATTTTGCTTTTGAAGTATTGATAAAAAGGATGAATTGGGATGCCAGTCAAAATCACTGGAATATCATAAATTTAATCCTTTTATTGTCACTAACATTGTTTGTGCTTATAGACATTTTTCTATTTGCAGTAACTTCTTTCTCTTGTTCCTATTAAGACTATTATTTTCACCCTGTTATTACTAATCCTTTCTTTGTAAAAAGCCACACCTATTTTAATCCAAAATGGTGTGGTAAGCATTTGCTTCTTTGTGGAAGTACACACATAATTAGGTTAATCTGTGCTATCTTGCCATGTGAATTGATTGTTTCTTTACTGTAAATATATTTCATAACACACTAGGCTTGCCAGAGTGCTTGGAGGCAAATCTGGAGTGATTTATGAAGCATGTAGCTACTATGAACTGAAATCTTGACATGATAGCAAGTTGTATAGCCACACCTACCTGCCACTTATTGCTCATGATAGCTTTTCACTTGCACATTAAATTTTGACCACACCTTTCTTTCACAAACAAGCACTTTCATTAATTTCATTCAACTAAAACTTTGGCAGATAAGTGATTGGGTTTTGTATGTCATCTGAGTATAGAGGACTTGAAATTCATAGCACAAGGTAAAATTCTCAAACAGTAGCAACTACATTACCTGTATGAAGTCTAAAATTGTCAGTGGAAGCAAATCATCCAGATGGCCAATATCTTTGGAGAAACGATTTAAAATTCTCCCTATAAAAACAGGATTCAAAAGAAATTGTAGTTTTTTTCAAAGACAATTTTTAAAAATTCACAAAAAATCAGAATAATATTTTTTAAAATACAATATGCTTTAGTTTTACAGGCAATTTAAGAAAAGCAAGAAGAAAATGGCTGACATCTGAAAATAAACAAAAAAGGAGATCTTCTGAAAACAGAACACAAAAGGAGATTTTTTACAGCTAGTGCAATACATTTTGCTAAAAAAGAATAAAAATATTATTTTTGAATGAATGCTTCTTTAATACAGACATAAATTGTTTATTTAATAGTGATAGTGTGTGGTCACCACCATTTCAAATGTTTCATAACAGTCTGAAACTAGTCATTTAGATAGAACTTAAGACCTCAATCCTGCAAATCCTTACATACATGCATGACATTATCCACATAAGTAAACAGTTATAGGACTAGATTCTTAATACTTATATACATCAATCAATATGGGCCATAACCTGTCTGACTCTGGTCCTTGCTTGCAAGTTCCACTGACATTTACCTGAGTTGTATGCATTTACTGCAAGGCCTAATATTGTCCTTTTTAGTAGTTCTGTGATTTTTAACCAACTTAGATTTCACAAAAGTAAAGAAATCTTAGCATCTTTAAATTCACGTTGCAGCTATTCTGGAATCAAATTTTAGTTAGGTTTGTATTGATGTGGCATGTTTTTATGTTGATGCAGCATGTTTTTTATATTTATTCAAAACCTTGACAATGCTGATCTTTATTAAAACTAATAACATTTTTAATCTGTTATCACTGAAGCATTTATTCTCTTCTATTTTCTTAAGGTCTACTTGTGTGAAAAAAATTCAGTCATAGCAAGAGAGCTTTAATTATAAATGTCACCATTCTGCCACCATTAGGTAGATTAGTACTTTACTCCACGAACTGATGCTTCTACTCAGGAAGTAAGGTACCATTTAACCTAGGGATGAGAATCTTACCTTTCATAAGGGGTTTATGTATGTGGACACATTCAAGTTTCTTTCTTTCTTTCTATCTACCTCAATTATTTTAATGAATTTTGTGATGAGATTTAGTTTTTCTCTCTTTTGGAATCATGGATCATAAGGAGAGGGAATTGAAGAATGTATTTTTTTTTAAGAAAAGTGACAAAAATCAGTGATTTTCAAATCCTCCTCTGGTAGAGGGGCAAGAGCGGGTCCTCTGCTGAAAATTCTGTTGAGTTTAAAAGTTTGGCATAAAGATGAACTGCAGATTAAAAAATAAAAACAGAGTTAAACTGAGATTTTTGTGATGAACATCTGTCTCATTAGCCAGGATCAGGTGGGAGAGGATTATTCAGTTCACAAATGTTTTTTTTAAACCAGCTTTCTCAACAGTCTCTCCTCTCTCTCTGATATAACCTCTTGATATGTCTAGGTTTACTGAAGATATCTGAAAGTGCATTATTCTGTGATATCACAAACACTATGTGTCCAGGCTGTACTCCTAAAATCTCCATGCAGATCTCACCACACAGTGGGAAAGGACAGCTACTTCTACAGCACGATCCCCACTTACCTAGTAGCTCACAGAAGACTGTTCACAGGGTCAGGATTGATGTGCTGTGGGATGGACAGGGACTGGGAAACCCCACATTGGGTGGGAGTGGGATGAAGTGAGAAACACATAATCCCTCTTTCAACCTTGTAACGAGTACTCAGGAAAATTAACTGATCCTGGCACAGTAACCTGTTCTCAGGTGCCCTTGAACCATGGGGAATCACCTTTTAAGAATCATGGGGAATCACCTCTGTCCATGCAGAGCCATTGTAGTGGGAGAGGAAGGGCACGTTACGGGCATGGAGATAGCTCTGAGACACAGGGCCTCTGTGCAGATGGCGCAGAGATCCTGCAGTTTTTGGGTATCCTCCAGATTTGCAAATGAGCCCTGCCAGTTGTTTCATGTTGGAACAGAAAGATCAGGGAAAACTCCATCAAGGGATGCAGCTTGGAGGTTTCTTTCCCTTTGATCCCCCCATGGGGGTTTTGACACAGGAGGGGTGACTCAGCCCATGAAATGCATGTGCTGCAGTGAGACTGTTGGTAGCTCTTACATCACATTCTGGGATATCTTCAAGGGAACCAAATAGTACCAAGAGGATTTCACAAAGGAAAAGATCATTTAAAAAAGTTTAGTGCTAACTTCTCTTCAGACTGCCCCCGTGGCCTGCTTAGCACAGGGACATACAGCACAGAAGCCTGAGCTTCTCTCTGTTTTAAATTTTGTTTTGGCATTCACCTTTAATCTGGTTTATTTGTAATAGTGATAAGAGATTGCAGCAGAATTATCTTGGTTATTCCTCAGAGGAAATTCCATAATACACAGAACGTGCACCAACAAAGCAAGTTCTTTCAGACTGGCTGCTTCAACACCAGTAGTACCGTGCAGGTCACTATTAACAATGTCAGGAAACCTGGAATACCTTCACCATGTCCCATGATTCAATGAGTAGATAGCACATGCAAATTCCTTCCTGGAGCAGCATTACAGTTACTCTAACACAGCTGTGAAAATAGTTTAACTTTGTACTTTTTGTAGACAGGGCCGTGAAGGGTAGAAGGCTGAGACAAATTAGTAGTGAAATGCTCACAAACTATCACAAAGCAGTTTATCACTTTGAAGTTTCAATCCCAACACTATCTGAAGTTTTGTTGTCCATTTTCTGGCAGGTTTTTATTGCAACTTACAAGTGAAAGTTAGAGGTTTGTTACTATAGAGGTTTGTGACTACCCCTTTGCACTACCTCAAAAAGTTTCAAAGCTCTACGACAGCCCCCATAGACAGATGGAGAAAGTTTTAAGTTGCAACAGTAATAAAGTTCTGTTCTGGCTCTTTAAAACAAAATAAAACATACACAACACAAACATTTTATAAAATAATACCAAAACTCATTATGACTGCCAAGAACAAGTTCCAGAATATTCTCATTTACAATAACATCTCATTTGGCTAAAGTTCTTTGATGCATACAGACCCACGCTAAAACCAAGCTGGGTGAACCATAAGAAAGATTCCTCTGGCGTGACTATCTCCTCCTCATATCCACATTCTAATCAAACTCCTACTTAGTTCTCATGGGTAATCAAGTTGCTAACTAATACCAATAATGTAATTTTGGTGATTGCCTTATAAAATTGTTATATGTTTTTAGAGAATGTTTTTGATACAGCAGGTAATAGGAAAGTAGAAATTAATCTGACATTATCAATAAAATGGGAAAAAATCTTTTAATCTGCCTAATCCACATTCGAATGTAAATATAGTAATTCTGTAGAATGACAAGGACTAAAATATGAGTAAGAAAAACAGTTGGTGTATGAACATGACTGAACTTGAAAGGAATGGGCCCGCCTACAATCCACCCTATGAAAAGAAATGTAAACATCCTGGAGTTGGATCAACCAATTCCTAAATAGGAAATTCAGGTCTATCTACAATTGCAAGATTTTAATATTTTGGAATCTTCAATAGTTACTGCACAAAGTTGTTTATTGTCTATTCGGTATTTATGCACACTCCTTTTGGTAAAGCATGACTGATCATTAAGCTCATGGAAGTGTTTGCCTCCTAAAGGCTCATGTTTCCTTCTCCTATTGCTAATTAGTTATTCTAGTGCCCATTACTGTTGTATCCGGGTGCATCACAAATAAAAACAAAAAATTTCTAGCACAGAAGAAACAAACAAACAAAGCAACGGGCCTTAATCCCACTTTCACAAAAGCTGATTTTACCCTAGTGTTACTCCACTGACTATATGAGATCAGAATCAAGCCCAGGGGACCCAGTTCACAGAAGGTATAACTTCTCTTAACAGTAATAAACTCCGGCAACGACAGCTTACCAGACAGAGCAAATTCCAACATTAGGGACCAGTCACAGAGAATAGCCTGCATCCAAATTTCAGTGCCCCATTCAGGGATTTGCCATTCTGATGTGGCATAGGTAGAGACTGCATATTCATAGTATGGATATGTCTACACTGCAATTAGACACCCATGGCTGGCCTGTGCAGCTGACTTGGACTTGTGGGACTTGGACTAAAGAACTGTTCAGTTGCAGTGTAGACATTGAGGCTCAGGCTGGAGCCTGAGAACTCGGACCTCCCACCTTGCAGGGTCCTAGAGCCATAGTTCCAGCCTGAGCCCTGGGATCAAAGGATTGTTGTACCTGATATCTGGGACCTGTTAAGCTGGCCTACAGAAAATATTTTCTCTAAGCCCTCTGGGGCCCTTATAGCCTATCACCATTTCTATGGGCTCCTTTACGCTTCCCCAAGTCCCTTAAATAAGCTGTGAGTGTTCTATGGATCATTTGGACTGTGGTATTTTCAGGACACTGAACGCGTAGTAGGTAAGTCCCCACAAAAATCCTGCCTTAGAATTAACCCACATTTTCAAACTCAACTACTGCATGCAACTTGAATTATTCAAATACGAATCACATCTTCTTCACATAGCATTTTAAAAGAACCAAAATTACTAAAAATATAGACATTGTATAGTAATGGATGGATAACCTCCACTGACCAAAAAAAGTCTTCCCATAAATCAATTCAGAAATATTTTAAAGTGTCAGTGTTGCAAGAGTACTTGAATCTGCCAAAAGAACCTGATATTTTTAGTATTAGGAAACTTCCAAACGCTTTGTGTAATTTCAGTAGCAAGCTGCAGTGGAGAACGTGCTCACTCCAGCAGTTCCATGTATGTTACTATATTAAATAACTTAATCAAACCACACTCTGTTCTTAGATTTATTCTGAAGTAATTAAATAACTATTCAATGCCAATTAATCACAGTTAAATAAGGGTCTGTCAGCAAAGTGCTATGTACACATTTGAGACTATTTAACTGTCAAATACTTGGCAGTATCTAAGTTAAACAATGATTCATTAAACCTCCCTTACAATACAATAGTTAGGCTAAACTTGAAGTGAAAGAATCGAAACTCTTTTCTTCTGCATG